TCAGAAGGCTCTAGGACAGGGCTGCATTGGGCCATTCTTTTTTTTGCAGTAGTCCTTGGAAGCAGTTCATGCAGTGGCCCAGGAGCTAGTCACTGTTGCACCCCACCCCCCGCCCCCCAACAACTCAGATGTGAGGAGATGAGGCTCGTCTGGTGAGAGTAAGAACTGCTCTGGCTTAAGCGCTGGACATAGCTTCCAGTCCCCCCGCAAAATGCCCGCACTCGGGAAAACCCAAAGCCATAGCTACCCTATTTTCAGTCCCCCCCAGTCCAGATGCAGCTTCCCATTCAGGGCCATTTTCCCATAAACCGTTTGCCATACTGTAGTTGCCACGCTATCTATCAGGTCACCCAGAGAACAGGTTAATGGGAAGTTAACTGAAGGTGATTTTCTCCTGCTGAAGGGAAAAGGCTTTCTTAAGCCTTTACCCAAAAAACCATTAGTTGTTGTAGAGTCCATTCTGACTCATGGTGACCCCACGTGTGTCAGAGTAAAACTGTACTCCATAGTGTTTTCAATGGCTGATTTTTTGGAAGTAGATCACCAGCCCTTTCTTCTGAGGACTCTGTGTGTGGGCTTGAACCTCCAACCTTTCAGTTAGCAGTCAAGTGTGTTAACTGTTTGCACCACCCAGGGACAGCAGCCCTTTACCCACACATGTATATACAAATGTAACATCTCCAATGGGGTAGCATCTCGTAATCAGACACATCAGTATTCGTGCAGCAAAATGCATAAATAATCCGTAAATAAACCTTACATCAGCTCACATCAGGTTGTGAACCAAATGAGTTACAGAATCACTTTCCGTGCTCAGAGCTTTAGGGTTTCGGTATTATTTGGAAAGGGGATTGTAGAGCTGTGCAGTATGCCTCTCTCAGGAAATCCCTTAGGGACTGTGGTGTCACGGTGGTTAAACACTCAGCTGCTAACAGAAAGGTCAGTGGTTCGAACCCACCAGCCACTCTGCGGGAGAAAGATGTGGCAGTCTGCTTCCATAAAGATTACATCCTTAGAAACCCTATGGGGCAGTTCTATTCTGACCTATAAGGTCCCTGTGAGTCGGAATCGACTCCATGGCACTGGGTTTGGTTTACAGGCAGGAAATCTCTTGAAACGTGAAAGTCGCCAGTATCAACGCTAGAGGGCCCCTGGTTATCGTTCTGACGGGATCCTTGCTAATGGAGGTTTTACCCGCCCACTTCAGCTTGCAGATGCCAGCACATTACCCAACCTGAACGAACTTCTCCAGTCTTCCGGAGACAAAGACAAACGGGCCCGGGACCTGGTGAGCTGGATCTTATCTTCAAAGGTCCTGACAATCCACAGCGCAGGGAAGGCAGAGGTGAGACTTTGGTCTGTAGGATCCAGATTCCTAGAGCCCAGGAGCTCCAGGACAGTGCCGGGTCCAGGGGTTCTGAGACCTCCTTGTGCACCAGAATGACCTGGGCAGCTTGTTGAAAATGCAGATTCCTGGGCTTTACCTCCAGAGATTCTGGGTCTGGCGTGGGGCCCAGGATGCGCACTGGCAGTGCAAAGCTGGGTTCTGCCTCTTACTATCTGTGTGACCTTGAGCAGGTTACTTGGTGCTTTTCAGTACCTCAGTTTCCTCCTCATAGTAGTATACTCCCATCAGGGAACTGGTTATGTGAATTGAATGAATCTTCGTACTTAGAACAATGCCTGATGCACACCAAGGGCTCAGTAAATGTTAGGTATCAGTTTATTTAACAAGCAGCTCAGGTAATTCTGATGAGGGTAGGCCCTGAAAACACACCTTAAGAAACATTTGCTAATCCACTTGTCAGGAAACAAACCAAAACTATTGCCGTTGAGTCGATTCTGACTCATAGTGACCCTATAGGACAGAGCAGAACCGCCCCATAGGGTTTCCAGGAAGCGGCTGGTGGATTTGAACTGCCGACCTTTTGCTTTTAGCAGCTAAGCTCTTAACTACGGCGCCACCCGTCCTCCATCAGGAAATGAGCAGAGCTCAAAATAGTGGAAAACCTCAGGCTCTGGGTTCAAATCCCACGTCCATCAATCTTTGAGACTCTTTTTCCCTATTTCTAAATAGAGAATATTGGTGGTTACCTCAGAGAGGGGAGTCTGATAGAATGTGTCATCCCCCAGCACAGTTTGACACGGTTCTCAGACACTCCATAATCGTGGTTCCTCCAGCTCAGCGTGGTCTCCCAGGGACACGCTGGGATGACAAGGACCAGCATGTAGGATCTGACCCCTGACCTGGTGGTCTTCCCTCTGACCGGCAGCAGCAGCTTATCTGTACTGCTCTTCACCTAATTAATCAATTTTAATTTAAGAGCATCCAATTTTACAAGCTCCTGCTAAAGACAGAAATCTTCCTTAAGAGTTTGTTGTCTTGGAATCTAGTGTCTAAGGGATATCCTTCTGTGCTGGATAGTAAAATAATGTACAGAGCCCAGAGTGGGGGTCAGGAGACCCGTATTCATGTTCAGGATGGGCTGCTAACTCCTGTGATCTCTGGGTTTCAGCTTACTCTTCTGCTCATGTGTGGTTCATTCATTCATTCCTCACATGGCCACCAAGCACTTGTATGTCAGGTGCAGTAGCTAAAGTGGATAAGGCAGTGGCACCTTAGCTTTTTGTTTGTTTTGGCTCCTTGCTTTTGATTATAGACCAATTAAATTTCCATTAAAATGTTGGGTGTTGGGACCCAGGGGTGCCAGCTTTTTTTTTGGCCCAACATCAAACCATTAGCCTACCATCTATCATCATTTTGTAGAGGGTTATTTTAACGTCAAAAAAGGAGGATGGTCCTAATCTTAGAGCAAAGGAGGTGTTTTCCAGTGAAAGGATCATGCAACCTTACATCAGCATAAATACATGTTACATTGCTTTTATTTTTCTCATTTAATCATAACCCAGAGACAGCTTTGCTGCAGGTTGGCTTTGGTCTTGACCTCCTGTTGGAACACCACTGAAATAATGTAGTCTCTGCCCTGAAGAGATTTAGGAGGGAGCTTACTGCCCTGTATCAGTTAGCTTTTGCTGCATAACAAACCATCCCCAAAACTTGGCTTAAAGCAGCAAACATTGATTACTTCTCATGATTCTGTGGGTTGGTTGGGTGGTTCTTCTGGTCTGGGCTGGCTCAGGTGGGCTGAATGATCTAGGGTAGCCTGACTTCCATTGGGATGGCTGTGAAGGTTGGGGCCTTCCTCTTTGAGGCTCTCATCCTCTAGGAGGCTAGCCTGGGCTTGTTCACATGGCAGTGAAAGGTGAAGGGTTCCCAGCAGCAAACTTTTTAAGTTTCTGTTTGCCATGTCTGCTAACGTCCCCTTGGTCAAAGCAAACTACGTGGCCAACTCCAGATTCCAAAGGGTGGAGAAATTGACTCCACCTCTTGATGGAATCTTGGTGGCATTCTGCCTACAAAGGCACCTTGCAGAAGGGTGCATGGACTGGGATGGGAGGAAAAATATGTGGCCATTTTTGCAATTTATCACACCTCCCCACCTCATGGGAGTACTGTAAAGATGGAACGCAGGAAATGTGAACGTGTTATGAAAATTGGAAGTGACCGCTAGTTTGAAGGGGCAGCTAATGCCTCTCAGCCTATTGTAAGGAGAAATGTTAATAGAGGAAAGCAGTCCTGAGTGATAAGTCCTGAGCCTGTTTACAAACTGGTATCTTTATCCTCATGAAATCAGTTGTTCTTGTAAGTCAGGGCCAAGGTTTTATGAGGCAATTTTTGCAGCACATTTTACCAGCTTCCCAAGTAAAAATGTCACTCCCTTCATGTTTTCCAGTTTGAAAAGATCCAGAAGCTGACAGGTGCCTCTCACACGCCTGTCCCCACACCAGACTTCCTGTTTGAGATTGAGTATTCCGACCCAGCCAACGCCAAATTTTCTGAGACCAAAGGAGAACGAGACCTAATCTATGCCTTCCACGGGAGCCGCCTGGAAAACTTCCATTCCATCATCCACAATGGCCTGCACTGCCACCTGAACAAGGTGGGGCCTAGAGGGCCCCCTGCTGACGTGGGGGTCAGAACCCTGGGGAGTAAGCTGCTGGGGTGGGGTGGGTAGGTGCACTAGGGCCTTGTCACTCAAAGCATGGGCTGCAGACCAGCAGCAGCACCTGGGAGCCTGTTAAAAAGGCTCCACCCTGGACCTTCTGAACCAGAACCTGCATCTTAACAAGATCTCCAAGTGATTCCTATGCAGATTACAGTTCCAGAAGCATCAGTTTAAGGATGGGGTCCCAGCCTTGGCTGTACATTAGAATCACTTGGGAAGCTTTTAAAAATCTCAGTGCCTGGCAACACTTCAGACCAATTAGACCAGAATCTTTGGGGCTGGGGCCCAGGCATCAGGATTCTTTAAAAGCTCTCCGGAGGATCCCCATGTATGGCCAATCCTTGCTGCTCAGCGGGGTCCCTGGGCCAGTGGCATCACCTGGGAGCTGGCTGGAAATGCTGAATCTCAGGCTTCATCTAGAAAAGAACCTACATTTTCAAAAAACCCCAGGTGATCTGTGTGTGTTGTGAAGTTTGAGAAGCCCTGCACTCAGGGACACGCCAGCAGTGGAAACTGAGGGAAGTCTTCCTTTTTCCCACCCTCCTTGAGCTCCTTTCCTCCCTTTTTCAGGAGTTAAAACAGAGTCAACCACCCCTTTGGTGCTGGCATTTACTTTACCTTTCAGCAAAATGTAGGAAGAACAGATGCTGAAGCCAAAAAGATGTACTTAGCAGCTCTGTGGCCCTGAGCAAATTTACTTCAACTCTTTGAGCCTCAGTTTTCTCATCTGTAAAATAGGAATGTTATTATTATTATTATTTGAAATAGTTTAAAAATTTTTTCCCATACAAAAATTTATTACATACATTGTTATGTGACCCTAATTGCTCTCCCCATCCTGTGACAGCACATTCCTCCTTTCCACTGCTGATTCCCCATATCCATTCAACCAGCTCCTAACCCTCTGCCTTCCCATCGCACCTCCAGACAGAAGCTGTCCGTTTAGTCTCTTATATCTACTTGAGCTAAGAGGCACACTCCTCACGAATATCACTTTATGTCCCACAGTCCAGTTCAATCCCTGTCTGAAGAGTTGGCCTTGGAAATTGTTTTCGTTCTGGGCTGATAGAAAATCCAGGGGCCATGCTTTCTGGTGTACCTCCAGTCTCAGTCAGACCATTAAGTCTGGTCTTCTTACTAGAATTTGAGTTCTGCACCCTACCTTTTTCCAGCTCCATCCGGGAGTCTTTTTTGTGTTAAATAGGGATACTATTCTAACTGAAGGAGCCCTGGTGGCACAGTGGTTAAGAGTTACGGCGAGCTACAGCTGCTAACCAAAAAAAGCCTGGCAGTTCAAATTCCACCAGCTGCTCCTTGGAAACCCTGTGGGGGCAGTTCTACTCTGTTCTTTAGGGTTGCTGAGTTTGAATTGACTCGACAGCCACTGGTTGAAAGGTCAGCAGTTCAGACCCACCAGCAGAATGGGAGAAAGATGTGGCATTCTGCTCTCATAGAGATTACAGCCTTTGAAACCCTATGGGGCAGTTCTACTCTGTCCTTGAGGGTTGCTATGAGTTGGAATTGTCTCGACAGCAGTGGGTTTGGTTTGGTTTTATTACCCACGTTCAGGTATGCTGAGAAGACTGAAATGGGTAATGTATGAAAAGGCTTCCACAAATAGTAAGCATGTAGGAAGAGGCAGCTGCTTTAATAGGCTCATGGAAAGGGTGTCTGGGGTTATAGGCCTTTCCCCGAGTTGTGGCAGCATCTGCCTTGTCTGGCTCGTGAACCACTGGCTAGGTCGTGGCTGATGCAGCAGCCCCAAGGCTAGAGAGACATTTTCTAACACTGCTGCATCTGATTAGCGTAGTTGGGTTTTGTTGAGGATGACGGGCTTGTTTATACTGGCTCAGCTTATTATTACGACCAGGCTACTGGAATCCAGGGGGCCTCTGCTTCACCCAAGAGCTGGCCTGGAGAAGTTGCCTGCAGATGACGTTCTTGTATAGCAAACCTACATTTCAGTGCCCCAGGGAGTTCACTGCTAAGAGACATCTGACAAAGAGTCCTTTGGTAAAGTAGATCCGCTTCTGACGTCCTCCTCTTCTGGGTTTTCAGTGAAGGGCCTTGTCTTAGTCATCTAGTGCTGTTAGAGATACCACAAGTGGATGGCTTAACAAACAGAGGTTTATTCTCTCACAGTCTGGTAGGCTAGAAGTCCGAATTCAGGGCATCAGCTCCAGGGGAAGGCTTTCTCTGTCTGTCAGCTCTGGAGGAAGGTCATTGTCATCAATCTTCTCCTGGTCTAGGAGGTTCTCAGCCCAGGGACCCTGGGTCCAAAGGTCACACTTTCCTCCTGGCACTGCTTTCTTGGTGGTATGAGGTCCAGCCTTCCTCCCTCTCTGCTTGATTTTCTCTTTTATATCTCAAAAGAGATAATTTAAGACACAACCTAATCTTGTAGATTGAGTTCTGCCTCATTAACATAACTGCCACTTATCCTGACTCATTAACATCATAGACATAGGACTTACAACACATAGGAAAATCACATCAGATAACAGAATGGTGGACAGTCACACAATACTGGGAAGCATGGCCTAGCCAAGTTGACACACATTTTTGGGGAACACAGTTCAATCCATAACAAGCCTCCTGGAGGGAGCCCACCTGCCAGTTGAAGCTGTGAGATTGTTTTCATGGCAGAGGCACCCCAAGTTTCCCACGCTTGCGCAGCTCTGCTCACTGCAGCCTTACACAAGGTCCCTGAGTCTAGGGAAGGGTGCATACATGGCGGGTGTGAGCAGCGAATGGAGGTTGAGTCAGATCAGAGGGCGTTCAGTATCCTTGGAGGTCTATGTCACTGCTTGAGAGATGAAGACACTGCCTAACCTGGCAAGGGGCTTCTCAGAGGCCAAGCAAAGGCTTGATTCGTTTCCCCTGAGCCTTAACAGGTTTAGAATTGCGGAAGCCTGACACTGTGGAGTAGGACAGTTCTCATTTCCAGAGGATAGGGTGTTCTTCAATGAGCTGTTCAAGTCCACCCATCATCTTGTAACGTTGATACTGTGGCCCAGAGATAGCAAATGAGTTTCAACTTGAATGTCAAATTCCATCCATTGGTTTCAGCTGCCTGGAATGTTAAGTTGAGAAAGGCTGAGTCTTTGCCCAGCTCAGTGTGAATGAGTGCCATGATTGACACTTTTATGTTAGTCACCGTGGCTGATTCCTGGTGTCTAGCATGAGCAGAGGATGTGTTTGTTGTCCCTGCTGTGGCCTCAACTTGCAGGTTCCTCACCTGGAATCCTTAACCGCTGTCACCTGGCCTACTTCCTTATGGAGAGCACCATCTTAACACCCACCATCAGGGAGCTGCCTTCTAGAGTTCTAGACATTTTCTTGGTCAACACCAACCCAAATAGAGCAACATACCCTGTCCCTCATGTAGGCCTCCCTCATTCAGTTACAGTTTCTGGTCTGAGAGACTCATTGCTTTCCCAAGTAACGTCTTGGATTACCTTCCCCTTCACGTGTGGCCTCCTTGCACGTAAGGGTGTGACGTTACTTTTGCAAGCCCATCAGTGCAACTATGCTAAACGCATTCATGTAACAGATACTATATATATTACAGCCTAGGAGCTTGTGATGGAGGACCCCAAACCAGTTGCTGGCAAGTTGACTCTGACTCATGGTGACCCCGTGGGTGTCCGAGTAGAACTGTGCTCCATCAGGTTTTCAGTGGTTGATTTTTCAGAAGTAGATCGCCAGACCTTTCTTTTGAGGTGCATCTGGGTAGACTCAAACCTCCAACTTTTCTGTGAGCAGCCAAACATGTTAACTGTTTGCACCACCCAGGGACTCCATGGAGGATCCATGCCTTATTTATTTAGTACCTGTTGTGTGCCAGGTGTCCTGCTCACTGCTTTATGTACATCATCTCCTTTAATCCTCACCCACAGCCTTATGAGGGAGGTACTGTTATCCCCATTTTGTCATGTAGAAACTGAGACCCAGAGAGTTTACATAACTTGCCAGCTAGTTGGGGTAGAGGCAAGGTTCAAACTCAGGTCTGTTTGGACCCCTAACTACGTTTTTCCCATTTGAGTTTAACCACCAGGAGCTGCTGGTTTGTCGAGTGGATGGCTAACTCCACAATTAAACTGTCGTCAGCGCGGAATGCATTTAGTAATAACCGTATAATGATGTCCCAGGATTAGTTGATCCTGTCTTTTGCCGGGAAACAAAAAGGCTTGAAAATTTTGCATTTACAACTCTGTGTTGAAGAAAGACCCATGTCATCTGGCTGTGCCGATTCCCAGCTCTGCATTCACTCAGCTGTGTTTCTTTTCTGCTGGCCTCTGCCATTCCAGACATCCTTGTTCGGGGAGGGAACCTACCTCACCAGTGACTTGAGCCTGGCCCTCATTTATAGCCCCCACGGCCACGGGTGGCAGCGCAGCCTCCTTGGACCCCTCCTCAGCTGTGTGGCCGTGTGTGAGGTCATCGATCACCCGGATGTCAAGTGCCAAACCAAGAAGAAAGGTGTGTAAATGCTTTGCCCGGGCCTGGGTGTGAGGTGCACAGACTCTTGCTGTTGGCCCAGCTGTTGCGTGGAGCACCCATTCCATGCCAAGGCGTGGGCTGGGTCCAGAGCAATGCAGGACAAGGGCCTGCCTTCAAGGAGTGAGCAGTCAGTCTCCTTAGGGATTGGACACACAATGGAACAGATACCTCTTACTGTAAGGGAGAGAGTATCAGGTGAGGGAGCTGATTAGGGCTTTGGGGACAGCTCAGAGGAAGGGGCAATCCTGGTGGGTCCCAGTGAAAGCTTTGGGGAGGAGGTACGATTTTTAAATTTTATTTTATTGTGGTAAAAATGTAACAAAACTCTCAAGAAGATGAGATTTGATAATGAAGGTGGGTGTGAGGCAGAGTGTGGGCTCCTTGAGGATAGGAACTGAGACTCCTATTTTTTTTATTGCATTTTTTTTTCTTTCTTTTTAAATTGTAAATATATATGTAACAAAACATTTGCCATTTGAACAGTCTCACTCATTTTTGGGCGCCTGGTGTCAGCAGAGAGCTGACCTGAAGCTAAGGACTCTGGTTCCAGACCCTGTCCCTCCAGGCTACTGTGATGAGTGCCAGAGGCCATGGAGGATGTGAGGGACAGCCAAGGCCCAGGGTGTGAATCCTCGGAGCTGAGTCACCAGCTGCCCCCCTCCCAGCTCGTCCCCCAACATGTCCCTTAGAGTAGTCTCCCTGTGTCTGCCACCCCCAAAGACCAAAGAGGTCACAGAACTGTCATCTTAGTCTCCAGAACTGGCCCATGGTTCTGTTAGAAAAAGAATCCAGAAAACTGTCTGTTCCTGGCCTCTAATGTAAAACAACTGGAATCCTGAGGAACAGGCCCAGGTCTGACACCACCCTCCCAAACCAGATGGTAGAAATATTTGCGTTTATAATTCTTGGAAGTTTACAAACTGTGACATTAAATATCAAACAAAACCTTCCAGCCTCTGCTGTCATACAACTTTTGGGTTTTTCCCCCCTTTTTTTTCTTTCCCCCTCTTTTTTTTTGGTAAGGTGTTTTCATGCTGTTTAAAGAAAATGTGTTTTGTTTTTTTTTTTTCTTTTAATAAGTCTTAGTATGAAGGGAGGGAGATAAGCATTCTAAGAGGCTCGAATCCAGAATGGTTAATTTAAAATGCCTACCAAGAGGTTTGTTCAGGTCGGGCCCTGTTCCTGGTTCCTAGTCCCAGAGTATCTTGTGTGTGTTTCTGCTGCCAGTCTGCGTTTTCCCTTTGCTTTCCCCACTCAGTTGGGTTCTTCGTTTTTCTCCCTTTATCGCTTACATTTTCCTACTCCTTTTTCCCTCCTCCTGTCTGTCTGTCTGCTGGATTCTCCCGTTGTTTTAGTGCCGCATCACGCACCCTCAGGGCCCACTCCTCAGCCCGCTGGGGCTGCTCCATCCTAAGGACCAGGAGGCTTGGGCCTGTTTGTATTTGTAATTTGCTCCCTTTGTTTATTGTCCCCCTCCCCACCCAGTAAAGTTGTACTTGTTTTCTCACACGTTGGTTGACTGCTCTCTCCTTATTTAGATTCCAAGGAGATAGATCGCAGAAGAGCGAGAATCAAACATAGTGAAGGGGGCGACGTCCCTCCAAAGTACTTTGTGGTCACCAACAACCAGCTCCTGCGAGTGAAGTACCTGCTGGTGTACTCGCAGAAGCCGCCCAAGAGGTAAGAAGGACAATCACGGCGTGAGGTCCAGGAGAGCTTTATGGCCGTGTTCAAAGTGTTGGGTTTCTTAGCTATCAGCCTTCCCTGCCCCCCATGGACTTACGTTGTTGTTAGGGGCTGTCGAGTTGGTTCCGACTCATGGCGACCCTATGTACAGCAGCCTTCTGTTAGACGCCAGCTACGTATAAAGCACAATGCTAGACATGGTAAGGGGTTAATAAGATGTGGTTCTGGTCCAAAAAGTACTGTACATTCTAGTGAAGAAGGTAGAAAGAGATTTGTAAACATAAACAGCATGAGGAACTGTTGTTGTTAGGTGCCACCGAGTTGGTTCTGACTCACAGTGACCCTGTGTACCACAGAATGAAACACTGCCTGGTCCTGTGCCATCCTCACAATTGTTGCCATGTTTGAGCCCATTGTTGAAGCTACTGTGTCAGTCCATCTCATTGAAAGTTTTCCTCTTTTTTGCTGACCTTCAACTAACATAGCCAAATTGGCTGCCCCAAACCGTGAGGCCCCTTAGCCACTTAGGCTCCCAGATTGCAGTCTGAAACCCACTGGCTAGGTTAAGCCCAGAGGCAAGGTAGCAAGTGGGCATTGGTCGGGCGTGTTTGCAGCCCAGCTCAGCCACTTCCCACTTCAGTGGTTACTGAACCTCCTCCTGCCCCTCTGGACCTGGATGTCACCTCTTTATTTCCAAAATGAGGGTGTTGATCCCGACAGCAGAGGGGGGCCTTCTGCTCTTAAGACCCAGGATGAATGCCTCATCTCACCCAGCAGTGTTGTAGTGGGGGTATGTGCGGGATGCCCCAGGGCCTGGGGGGTCACTTTGAGATCTTGTCGCTTGTTGGGTTCTGTGGCAGAGAGGGCCTCTTTTGGGAGTCAGCAGCAGGTGAGATGAGGCAGGGCTGATTTTTAATAATCTCTCTTCTTGTGTGGCTTCTGGATTTCATAAGCCAATAAAATTTCCCCCAAACTTTGGAAATCTGTGTAGGGTTCCTGAGTCTAGGGAACTTTGTCCTTTGGTTTAAAATCATCTCGCTGTTTCTATTTGAAAATTCCATTCCTTTCCCACTTCTTCCTGGAGTCTCTAGCACTCACTTGGATGATTCACGTCATCTCTGGGTGGGCCAGAGAGGATTTCCCCGGCTCAGATTTATATCTGTGCATGTCTCAGTAAAAGGACTTTAGCTAAGTAACCTGCCACCACCCCCCACCCCGCCCCCAAATCTGGACAGACACCTCGAGCTGGCCCTTCTGGATACCAAAGGCTTGCTTAAGTACAGATGGGTTATAAAAGGTGAAGGGGGAGCTGTAAATGAGAAGATCAGGATGAGCTCATTGCATAGCTGTCTTTGTATATTTAGAAAATGTTCTGTTGAAAGGCGTGTCAGTGCCAGGGCAAACAGCTCCATATTTCTCAAGCAAAGGAACATGAAGAAGCTTTATTTCATGGCTCACGCAGAGGGTGGAATTCATCATTTTGTCAGCTTTGAGCCAGAAGTTGTTGCATACAGTGTTTTAAAAAATGTTTTTCTCTCTTTGCCAACATCACTCTTCTCCCCCCGCCACAGGGCTTCCAGCCAGCTCTCCTGGTTTTCCAGCCATTGGTTTATGGTCATGATCTCCCTGTATCTGCTGCTGCTCCTCATAGTGAGTGCCGTCAACTCCTCTGCTTTCCAGCACTTTTGGAATCGTGCAAAGAGATAATCTTTCTGGGCCTTGTGTGGGAGCCACACGTGCCTTATGATAGATACCTTGTTCTGTATCCCTACCCCTTGCATCCAGCCAGTCTGAGCCTGGAGGCCAGTTGGGGACCACGGGACAATTTTTGTATGCCATAAATGTATCCATTGCCTTTGATGATGCTCCCAGCCACACTGGTCCCTCATGCTTAGGTTTCGGGGGAGGTCTCCAATCTGCTCCTTCCCAATCCATCCTAGGGAGGTGGCTTTCCAGCCAGGGCGAAGGGAAGGTCCTGCTGCGTTTAAAAACAGAGTGTCCAAGCTGTCAGGGGTGTGTTTACAATGCAGAGGTCAGCCCTTCCCCTAATGCCTTCTGGAAGGTGGAAAATTTGTAGTGGGGACTGTAAATCACGAAGCGGTTGCCTTGTTTTGACTTGAGATGCCCAAGAGAACAGTCATGTTTCTCAAATAAAAATCAATGGGGTCTTTTCTGAATTCCATCAGCCTCTGAATGTGAGTGCAAAACATCTCAACAGTTTTCTCAAATCAACAGAAACAACCTGCTACAGTTGTGCCCCCAACCCCAAACCGTGGATGAGAAAGGAAGGAGCCAGAGGCCTAATAAAAAACACAAACGTAACAATGAGCAACTCACCGCGTCTTTTTCTACAGATTACCAACTGCTGATAACAGCTGAAATGGAACCAAATGTTTATTTTCTAATTTTTTTTGGGGAAGCTATTCAACAAACTAGGCTTTGTGAACTAAGGAAAAGGGGAAGTTTCTACGAGGGCACCACTGGCCGGTGTCCACAGCCTTTTTCCTGGCTGTTTATAGAGAAAGGGACCTGAGCTGCAGGCTCGCCTCTTGTCCTCCTTCTCATGAAGCTGCCTCAATTGACTGTGGCCTGACCCCCGCAGGCCTTCAGGGGGCTGCTGGCCTTTGAGACAGAGGCCTGCCGCAGTGTGCCGTGGTCCATATGGGCTGAGCTGCCCTCAGAGGGACTGCAAGTCTGTGGGGACTCGGCCGCCCTCAGAGGGGCTGCAGGTCAGTGGGGACTCGGCCGCCCTCAGAGGGGCTGCAGGTC